GGCGGCAAACCAGGAAGGGGAGCATACTCAAGGTGTGAGCGTACTTGTGCCTCATACAGAATCTTGCAACCCCTACTCTCCTCCCTCTCTATCTCTCTCTCTCTCTTCCAAACATTATAATTTCCTTTACCTCTGAGTGATCTAAGATGAGGTTCTCCAGATAACATATTTTAATATCCTGAGTTGCTTCCCTAGCTCAGGTTGACGCTCTCACCTCTTTTTTATTTTAATTCATACAATTTTCAAAAGTTTTCGTGTCTGTCAATTCCTTTATATTAATAACGTAGAACAAAAACAAATACAGAACCTAGTGAACCATAGTATTCAATCCCACGTCATCCAACTTGAATCCATTGTTTCGAGTTTAATCTTAAATCTCTACAGTCTTTTATTTACTGATCCATTAACAATTACGACACGTCAGTGAAAGTGCCGTTCATGAGAGTGAGAGTTTTGGCTGGATCAGTGTAGGGAGCGTTCAGAGAGTTTAAACTATTCACGGAACTGGTGGGGATCGAACCCATGGCGAATAAGTCCTACAACTTACAGGCCAGTGCGCTAACCCCTCGGATGAATCTTATTAAAGATTCGTCTGAATGGTTAGCGCACTGGCCTGTTAGTTTCAGAACCCACTCGCCATGGATTCGAGCCCATCCCGTTCTGTGATTTGTTTGCATTCGTGTTTTTTTTTACAATTTCGTGAGTTTAAACTAGTTGATATTAGTCACACAAAAACCAACAACAGATCACAGTGTGAAGGTGAGTGACTCACTCAGAGAGACGACGTGGAAACACTTCGAGGTCACTCTAATGGATATATTCTGATAAACCACGAGCATTGAGTCAGGAATCTCTCCTCAGAGGACGGAATCAGAGCACTGAAGATGGCAAGAGTATATACACCGAAAGGTATCTCTACTTGTGTATGCATTACTAGCTTACTTTAATTTTCATTTTAAGGATGAAGGTATTCTTGGCAGGTGGTGTACAGGTGGTGTACAGGTGGTGTACAGGTGCGTACAGGTGTTGTACAAGTGGTGTACAGGTGTACAAGTGGTGTACATGTGGTGTACAGGTGGTGTACATGTGGTGTACATGTGGTGTGGTATAAACCTTGGTAATAAATACCGACAAGTTGGTTTAGAAAGACACGTAAGCAAACACTATAACATATTTATTAGAAAACGTTTCGGTCCTGGGACCTTGATCACTTCTAACATACAGAGGTAGAAAGACATTATATATATAGGCCGAGAGTGAGATGTGACGCACGTGACCTGTGGTGTACATTTGATGTACAGGTGGTGTACAGGTGGTGTACAGATGGTGTATTCGACATGATTTAATTTGACCAACCCACTGAAACTACATTTTAGTGAAAATTGTAGAAAGAAGAGAAGAGAAGATGTAGTTGGAAAGAGGAGAGCAAATATAAATAAACATGATAGAAATAATACACTGAATAAACTTCACTGCAGAGCAAAATAAAGTTTTTAAGATAAAAAAAAAATGAAAGTGGCGAAAGATATTGAGAAATCCCATTGCAAGAGTTACCTGGCACTGTTTACAAGATAGCTAAAGAGGATGCAATATAATGGCGTACTTGGCACTCTGCATCAACGAATGTTGCAACGTCAACATTAATGTTGCCCTGCACGTTGACCACTCACCACTGGTATTCAACTCGTGTCCACAGTTGTGATTTATCCGCAAAGCTTCACCTCCCCCACCCCCTTCCCCACCTAACCCTTTTCCACAGTCCATCCTGACCTATTCTTCTTCCTCCCCACAACTTACCAAACCTCTGGTTAAAGAACCTTGAACCTAGCAGCCCAAACCTTTAACAACTCACCCAAGAGTGTCCACAATTGGCTGATTTTTTTTTTTTTTTTTTGCAACCATCACTTCTGTGACATGTATGTATCAGCGGCACCGACTGTGACATGTATGTATCAGCGGCACCAACTGTGACATGTATGTAACAGCGGCACCAACTGTGGCATGTATGTAACAGCAGCACCAACTGTGACATGTATGTATAAGCGGTACCAACTGTGACATGTATGTAACAGCGGCACCAACTGTGGCATGTATGTATCAGCGGCACCAACTGTGGCATGTATGTAACAGCGGCACCAACTGTGACGTGTATGTATCAGCGGCACCAACTGTGACATGTATGTATCAGCGGCACCAACTGTGACATGTACGTATCAGCAGCACCAACTGTGACATGTACGTATCAGCAGCACCAACTGTGACATGTATGTATCAGCAGCACCAACTGTGACATGTACGTATCAGCAGCACCAACTGTGACATGTACGTATCAGCAGCACCAACTGTGACATGTACGTATCAGCAGCACCAACTTTGACATGTATGTATCAGCAGCACCAACTGTGACATGTACGTATCAGCAGCACCAACTTTGACATGTACGTATCAGCAGCACCAACTTTGACATGTATGTAACAGCGGCACCAACTGTGACATGTACGTATCAGCAGCACCAACTTTGACATGTATGTATCAGCGGCACCAACTGTAACCCTCCTGTCTCATCCTGCAGTCTCAGAAGCTATGAGACTGCAGTTCTTGAGAGTATCTTTAAAACACCATCTGTACAATAAAGTATCTTTTTAACACCATCTGAACAATAAGTATCTTTAAAACACCATCTGAAGAATATAGTATCTTTAAAACAAAGAAAAATAACACGACACAATACTCTTCCACTTAAGTCGCAGCTTTATACAAGTCACACACACCTGAGACGCGAAACTAAGCGACCTTTCGGCCGGTGTTGGACTAGTGTCAGGTCCGCTGGTGTCCTGACACTGGCCGGCGACGGAGCGTCACTCTGGCTGTGCATCTCTCAACCATTTTTC